GATTGGGAACCGTTCTTGTGGAAATTTATTAGCAAGTGCATCAATTTTGTTCAGTGGTTCGCACTTTGCTAAAGTTGCGGAACTTTTTGCAATTTTTGGAGTGCCGTTTATTTCACAATCCATACATTACATATATCAAAAACAATTTTTATTTCCAATAATCGATCATCATTATAAGAAAGAAAGAAGATTATTGATAGATGGATTACGTGGAAAAATGGTATGTCTGTCAGGAGATGGGCAATGTGACAGCCCTGGATTTAATGCCAAGTACTGCACGTATTCACTTTTGGAGGAAAAATCGCAAAAAATAATAGAATGTCAAACAATTCAAGTGAGTGACGCAAAATCATCTGTTGCTATGGAATCACTGGCATTCAAAAGTTGCATGGACCAAGTACTAGCCGACAAAATTCTAATTTCAATTCTCGTTACCGATCGTCATGTAAGCATAAGGAAAATCATGAGAGAGAGATACAAAGCCATTAATCACCAATTCGATATATGGCACTATTGTCGGAGCATTCGGTTAAAACTATCAACCATATGTCGCCAAGCGATGTACAAGGAATTGGTTCCGTGGCAAAATTCGATAATAAATCACATGTGGGCAGCTTGTTCATACAGCAAAGGAAATCCAATTTTGTTAAAAGAGAAATGGCTGTCGGTAATGCATCACATTATAAACGAACATGAATGGGACTCTGCAACACTTTTCAAAAAATGTCAACATGCGGAATATGATCAAACTCTTGAACAGAAATCCTGGTTGAAAAAAAATGGAGTGGCATACTCCAAACTTCGAAGCTTTGTCACAGATTCAAAATTAGAGAAAGACTTTCCACATTTGGTTCATTTTTGCCACACGGGATCACTTGAAGTCTTTCATAGCCTGGTATTAAAATACCGTCCCAAAAGAGTACATTTCACGATGGATGGGATGGTAGCCAGGACACAACTGGCTGTTTTGGCCCACAACGCCAATGTAGGCAGAGAACAGGCCACTATACAGAAAGAACAAGCAGGCACTGGACACATTGGGGACTTGAGGTTCAAACCGTTTTTCTCTAAAAGGAGTAAAAATTGGAAAATTAAGAAAATATATGAAAAAAACACTATTGCCCATATATATCCAATGATGGCTGACGTACTACGAATAGCCTCAGGTGACTTACAAGTTAATTGGCAGTCTCAAACAGGGCAACTTCCAATAAACATTGCTTCAACACCTCGCCCACCAAAGGAGGTAATGGTTGACCGTCACTTTTCGCGTTTACGCCCAAGAAGACTTTAAAATGTTCAAAAATGTATAATTTGTGTAAGAAATTTTTGGACTGGTGATAAAAATAATAACATTTCTGTTAATGGTGCTAAATACTTGTTTATAGTGCAATTTAGTTGTAATTTGTATTCGAAGAACAAATTTTAATTTCTTAAAATAATTTTGATTTTTGGTTCAGTTTGTATAATTTCTTATACAAAACCAGGACGTTGCACTTACTTACTATTTGTTTTTGTTTTAACATGTTACATTACAGGAACCATAACAACTATATGCACATTAAGTTATTATTGTGCCTGTAATTTACTATTTTATTTAATTTAAAATATTTATTATTGTCATATTTTTGAAAATTCAAAGTTGATATTGTCGAATATTGTTTTACTTAATAAAAAAAAAAAAATATTATTTGTATTTTCAAACCATGTAATGTAACAATAAAGTTAATTTAGCGATGTGGATGCTTTTAAAAAAAAAGTTAACTTGTGTTCCAAATTTTATTTTTAAAATTTTGTTATTTATTACATTAAATTATTGTTGTAAATTTTTTTTTTCAATGTTGTTAATAAATGTTTATTACTTCACAATTTTTGTACTTTATTCAATAATTATGTTCATGTAGACACTCTATTGAAATTAGTGATAGCTGGTTTAAAGGACAAATAATTTTACCCATCACACTGAAGTAAAATTACTTTTAGTATTTGAAAAAAACATTATATATATATATATATATATAACTGTTTGTGTTATTTTTTTAATAAAATAAAATTAGTAGATGAAAGTATCATTAAAATAATAAAAAATGCAATATTTTTTTATCATTTTTTAATATATTAATATAAGAAATAAACATTTTTATAACAGTTTACATTGTACAATAAAAATAAATAAACATATTAAATTTTTTTAACATTATATACAACAAACAGACAATGTTGAATAGTTAACACATTTTGATAAACTAAAACAATTGCAAGGCTTCGTACTGTCTACTATACAAGTTCAACAGCTATAGGGTCATCATCCGCATATCTAAAACCCATGTATATCGCATCTGGTGCAGGAAAGTGTGACCTAATCAGTTTTACTGTGCACGAGGGTATCGGACGCCGCCTTTTGGGTCCCAGGTATCCGTACACCCACATTGTGAAGGACCTGTAGGCAGTTTTTCGGTAGTCACTGTGAACAAAAAAAAAAAGGAAACATTTAACATTGCATATAAATAACCAAACAAAAAATGAGTGTCAATGGAGTATAGAATAAAAAATATTAAATTATGAATATAAAATTTAGCATCAAAAACTATAGAAAGTAATTAAAACTAAACATAAACAATTGTAGTATTTGAATACTAAAAACAAAAGAGCACTATAGTGACAGGAAAAAAAATCTCGTTTTCTTGGCACTATAGGGTCATTAGTGTCCCCCCCCCACACAGCCTCAGTGCCCCCCCTCATGATGCGCTGAAGGGGTTAAAACACCTTCAGACACTTGACTTTCTCCAGCACCGAGCTCATTCTGTGCTGGCGACCTCTCCTCCTTCTGCCAGAGTCCGCATTACTCCATGTTTTCCTATGGACATCCAGCGTTGTGAGAATTGAGGAAACAGCGACTGTCAGTGAGACAGCCACTAGAGGCTGGATTAAACCTCATTGAAAGCTAGCAGTTTCTCCTACACTATGTTTGGAGCGGCAGGGTTAAAACTAGAGGGACCAGGCACCCTGACAACTTCATTGACTTGGAGTGGTCTGTGTGCCAGGTCCCACTATTTTTAACCCATTTCGGTGTAAACATAGTTTCATAGAAACTGCTGTGTTTCACTGAGGGTTAATCCAGCCTCTAGAGGCTGTCTCACAGACATTCGCAAGAGGAGCTTACACAATTCTAACTGACTGAGAAGACGCTGGACGTTCAAATGGCAAGCATGGAGTAATTCTTTCCTATAGGCTGTTTACCGAATGCGCAACGCTATAGACACGCATGTGCATTGGTAGCGGACATTGGCAGGAGGAGGAGAGGTCACCATCACCGGGGGAGCACAACACTGGACAAAGGCTAGTGGCTGACGATGTTTTAGCCCCTTCAGACTAGCAGGATTTGTTCACCAGAGGTTGGGGGGTGACTTAACCACTATATAGTGCCAGCAAAACAAGGTTTTTATTGTGTCACTATGGTGCTCCTTTAGAGATTAATTTTGCTTCATTTTTTTTTAAATCCATGACCGTTTTAAAGAACAATGCGCTGTATTTAGATTTATGATACACTCACCTTTCCTGCATTTGTTCCGGAGAACGGAATCGAGCGGATTTTACATAGCTGAGACCATAACGGTATAGAGACAGCACGTGTTCCCGTGAAGATAATTGCTCACGTAGATATGGAAGATTGCAAATGCAATTCTGTTGTTCATTCAACATATCGACAATGTTCTCTATCTCCCTGCAGCATAGACTTTCTTCCTCACTTTGCATTGGCATACAATTGCCACACAGACACCATTCCGATGTTCCTACTCTTGTTGGTGAAGCTTGCGTATTTTCGTCATTAATCACTTGCTGTGCAGGTGGATCCCAGTCCATACTATTTAAAATATCTGGATCAACTGCATGTCGATGACGGTCCTCAAAATATTCTGACAGCTATAAATATATGTAGTAGTTTTTTTTTTAATATGTATTAGATCTTCATAAACACAATAACATTTGTATGAATCCTAGTCGGTATTGAATAAATGATGACAGTTAGAGGACCACAATAGTGTTTTTAAAAAAAAAAAGGTTTTCTTGTCAATATAGGGCCATTAGGTCCACCCCACCCTCAGGGTCCCACTCCAGCAGGGCACTCGGGGTTAAAACCCCTTCAGGCACTTTTCTTTCTCCAGCACCGCGCTCCCTCGGTGATGGTGAACACTCCTCCTACTGACATCATTGCCGAATGCGCCTGCGCGGCAACTGCAGTGCACGCATTCAAACCGCCCATAGGAAAGCATTACTCAATGCCAGTGATAAGATGCTGCATATCAATACGTAAGCATTGAGTAATGCTTTACCATGTGTGTTTAGAATGCTTGCGTTGCAATTGCCGTAGCCGAGGGAGCACAGTGCTGGAGAAAGTTAAGTGGCTGAAGGGGTTTTAACCCCGAGTGCCCTGCAGGAATGGGACCCAGAGGGTGGGGTGGACCTAATGACCCTATAGCGTTTTTTTTGTTCGAGGCTAGGAAACAGCTATGTTTACAGTTGCAGTGTTGACACTAGAGCAACCTGGCACCAAGACCACTCCATTGAGCTGAAGTGGTCTGGGTGACTATAGTGGTCCTTTAAAATTCTTCAACCATGAAAACATCCATCATGCAACCTAATGTAACTGAATTGAGATTAATGCATTGGTCCAGTCCTTTTTATCCTTCAATACAAAATATTACCATTTGTCTCCTAGGCCAATGATTATCTCATTGCTTAGAAAATCGGCTAGACTTATGTCTTTTTTTTTTTTATTTGGTAATTGATATTACTAAAATAGAGTGATCATGAAAAATGTAAGTCACTTATATAAACTTACCATACGTTGGATGTCCGCATCATTTGGATCAGTTGAAACTGAACTATTTCCACTTGCCATTTTTTTTACTTAGCTTTTAAAAAAGAAGAAATCAATGAAAATAAGCAGAAGAAACATTTCTAGTACATTATATTAATTTTTTTTCTTGTTTTTATTACGACAGACATTGTGTGTTGCTGGCATCATGTGAGTGGACGAGATGAACAATAAAGAGTCCAGTCCTCACATTTTTGAAGAGGCAGGTAAAACAATTTTTAAAAACTAATTAAAGTACCACTATAGTGCCTGGAAAACTCTTGTTTTCCTGGCACTATAGTGCCTTGAGCTTGCCCCCTCCCGCCGGGCTGGATGGCGAGGAAAGGGGTTAAACTTATCTATTTTCCAGTGCCTGGCGGGGAGCTCTCCTCCTCCTCTCCGCCTCCGATCATCCTCTTTTTCTGAATGCGCATGCGCAGCAAGAGCTGCGCTCGCATTCAGCCTGTCTCATAGGAAAGCATTTCCAATGCTTTCATATGGACGCTTGCCTCTTCTCACTGTGATTTTCACAGTGAGAAGCACGCAAGCGCATCTAGCGGCTGTCAATGAGACAGCCACTAGAGCAGGGGTTCTCAACGTTAGTCCTCAGGACCCCCTACCAGTCCAGGTTTTAGGGATAACATAAGTGTGTCTAAGGTGTTTAGAAAAAGAAAAAAA